CCACTTTAACTGGGCCGCCCATGAAATCTTCCATTTTGTGGCCACAGATGCTCTGTATACATTGGACATGTTTATGGAGGCTGGAAAAATAAACCATTTCCTGGCAATTTTCCTTATTTCTGTTATGGCTCTTGAGTTCTTCTCCATCTCCCCTACGTAGAAAATAAGGATTTATGGCAGATTTAACATGACTAAAAAATCTCATCAAAATTTTAGGTCTGGGTAAAATTGTATTATCCTTAAAAAAAAACAGTTGCCACCCTAAATAAGGGCCCCACTCTGAATGACCAGATCCAGGCGTCTTTTGTACGTCTAACGTAGGAACAATTCCGAAAGAAGTTTGGGTTCATTGACCAGGTATGGTTGTTGAACCTTGTCGTTATAAATCTTTAGCCTTGTAAAGTTTGAGGCACATTTCAGTGTTTCGATTTTAAGTTTTAATTACTGTTTGGTTGGAGTTATCCACATTTGAAGGTTTGTGCATGGTTTGTTGATGATGTCTTATGGTTGTTGATGAATTATTATGAACCCATTGTCCTGGCTTCACCCATGTATTGCACCGTCCTCTCAGCTCCGAATGTCAGGAATGACACCAAGGAATGGGCTGCGTTCTCATTCGGCAGGAGGGCTACAAGACACGGCCAGTAGCTTTTCTCCATTTTCACCTGGCTCCAGCATTACGTCTCCATGGGTGGGAACTAGATTTAATTTCTCTCAGCTTGGTAAGTGACATTGACACTCCCTTGGTCTACAGTAACCATAATAATAGATGATGATGCCCAACCGGAATAAAAGCCCTGAGATAATGCTGACACTGGGGGTGGTTGCTTTCTTCCTAACTTACACAGTCTTGTTAGCTACATCCATTGTACTAGAGCATTGTTCTCCAAACTACAGCCTTGGGACTCGGATGTGGCCCCTTGCGTTTTCCTTTGTCTGGCCCTTGGAGCACTACTCCTCCAACTGAAACCAATGATGGGACACCATTCCTCTCACTGACAGTTAATGTTGCACTATTCCTCCCACTGATACCAACAAGGGCACTATTTCTCCCATTTAAAACCAATGACGGGGCATTGCTTGCTCCAACTGACCACAGTCCGGGCCTGCCCAAAGCTTGAAGGACAGTAAACTGGTCCTTTGCTTAGCAAGTTTGGAGGCCCCTGTACTAGAGTGAAAGAATGACCAGCTTTCATGGTGTGCTTTGACATATCTCTGCGGGGCTTCGGTATAAAACACTAAAGAATACTAACTCAATGGAAGGTCAGTCATTTTTTTTCATGAACTGTTAAATTCTTAAAACGAAGTGTCTATTGCGCTTAATTAGAAGGTTTCTGGTTCTTCTGGGGCTTGGAGTTCTCCTCAGGTAAAGATATGTTCTTCACGTAACCAGGGGCGGACTGACAACTCATGGGCCTCCCCGGGCAATAGGGGATCATGGGTACCCTGTGTCCTTACCCAAACGACAAAAAAAGCCTATGAAAAAATGGGTACCAGGGGCATCTCATGGGGGCCCCCTACTGACCCTGGGCCCTCGGGCAGTGCCCGAGTTTCCAAGATGGTCAGTCCGCCCCTGCCACGTAACAGTATATCCCATTTTCCATGGTCACCAGATATGGATACTCATGTATAAAGAGCAAAGGAAGGTAGCCACGTAGTGGGATTCCATTATACAGGCGTACCTCGGTATACGAACGCCTCGGTTAACATAATTTTTGGTTTACGAATGAAAATCCATTGAAAATAATGGCTCGGTTTACGTTTATTTTTTTTTTGGCAATACGAACGGATTAATTGGTTTTCAATGCATTTACAATTTTTTTTTTAATCGTGTCCCCGTACAGTATTTATGCCTTTAAAGTGCACTTTATAAAGAGTTTTTTGAACAGATAGACATTTTTTGACTTTTTATGACCTCCGGAACGGATTAATTTGATTTTCAATGCATTTACAAATTTTTTTTGGCAATACGAACGGATTAATTGGTTTTCAATACATTTACCGATTTTTTTTTTTTAATGTCCCTGTACAGTATTTATGCCCTTAAAGTGCACTTTACATAAAGAGTTTTGCACAGATACATTTTTTTTTTTTTTTACTTTTTTCTGACCTCCGGAATGGATTAATTGATTTTCAATGCATTTATGAATTTGTTTGGCAATACGAACGGATTAATTGGTTTTTCAATGCATTTACAAATTAATTTTTTATCATGTCCCTGTACAGTATTTATGCCTTTAAAGTGCACTTTATAAAGAGTTTTGAACAGATAAGACTTTTTTTATATTTTTCTGACCTCCGGAACGGATTAATTGGTTTTCAGTGCATTCCTATGGGAAACCGCGTTTCGGTTTACAAATTTTTCTCAATACGAAAAGTCCCGCAGAACGCATTAAATTCGTAAACCGAGGTACGCCTGTATTAATAAAAAAAATCGAATAGTATACTCTCACAGCAAATAAATTATTCCAAGCATAAAATGCTGGACCAGAAGTAACACACCGACGGGCGCTCCACCGGCCGGATATGATGTCACCACGGCTCGCCACTGACGCGGTTCACCCCTCCCACTGGGCGTCTTCAACCTCTGAAGACACCCAATGGGAGGGGCGAAATGCTTTTTTAAAATTAATTATTATTATACAGTATTTATAAAGCGCCAATAGTTCGCTCAGTGCTGTACATTACAGAGGGGGACAGAACATGTGACAGAACAATACCAATACAATGCAAAACATGAGGGGATCGAGGGCCCTGCTCCTTGGAGCTTACAATCTAGGAGGGAGGGGATGGTGGTACAGGAGGAGAACGCTGTGGGGGATGGAGTGGTAGGAAGAGTGGAGGAGGTCGGCAAGTTAGCAGGGGGTGGGGTAGGCTTCCCTGAAGAGATGGGTTTTCAGGGTGCGCCTAAAGGAGAGGAGAGTAGGTGATAATCTGATGGGTTGGGGCAGGGAGTTCCAGAGGATGGGTGACACCCTGGAGAAGTCCTGGAGGCGGGCATGGGAGGAATCGCACTATGTGACTTCCTTCCTTAACTCCTTATACATGAGTATCCATATCCTGTTATCCCTTTATGTGAAGAACATACTTATTAATTTTTTTATTTATCTCAGGTACTTATATAGCGCCGTCACTTTACTCCGCGCTTTTTCCATATATATTGTACATTCACATCAGTCCCTAACCCTCAAGGGGCGTACAATCTAAGGTCCCTAACTCACATTCATACATACACATACTAGGGGGACAATTTAGACAGGAGCCAGTTCACCTACCAGCATGTCTTTGGAGTGTGGGAGGAAACCAGAGTACCCAGAGGAAACCCACACAGTCACAGGGAGAACATGCAAACTCCAGGCAGGTGGTGCCGGGGTTGGGATTCGAACCAGCGACCCTAGTACTACCAGGCGGAAGTGCTAACCATTTAGCCACTGTGCTTGCCTCCATACTGAGGAGAACTACAAGTCCCAGCAGAACCGGAAACCTTCTAATTAAGCTCAGTAGACTCTTACTTCGTTTTAGGAGTCCGTTGAAGTCGGTGAGTAAATGGAACCACTGGCGGGGAGCTCAGGATGTGCTTTAATTAAGAACCAATTAGGAGGCTGCACCTTTTCCACACGTTTTATGGACTATTAATAGTGATAATGTATACATTTATGTTGGTGTATATTATGTCTATGACTATGCAATGAGGCAGCGCTCACCTACCAACACTTACATACTTAGGAGAGTCAGCTCCTTATGTAGGAACAGCAGCCATTATTGGGAATATTCACAAATCTTGGAATTTTTCATTGCATTTCTTTGGGTATATCCACGGAAAATGAATTTTAAGCCTTGCAGTACTCGGGGCGTTGGTTCGAATCTCAACCACGGCACCACCTGCCTGGAGTTTGCATGTTCTCCCTGTGCCTGTGTGGCTTTCCTCTGGGTACTCCGGTTTCCTCCCACACTCCAAAGACATGCTGGTAGGTTAATTGGTTCCTGTTTAAATTGTCCCTAGTATGTGTATGTATGAATGTGAGTTAGGGACCTTAGATTGTACGCTCCTTGAGGGTTAGGGACCTTAGATTGTACGCTCCTTGAGGGTCAGGGACTGATGTGAAGGTACAATATATATGTAAAGTGCTGCGTAAGTTGATGGCGCTATATAAAAACCTATAATAAAAAAATAAATTTAAAGCACTAGACGTTGGTCCTCACAGGAGATAGGTCCCTTGTATTTTAATATTTTTTTTTATGTGCTTTCTACCTCTAGCAAGTCCAACAGCTTCGTCGCAGATGAGTTTGTCAAACTCGGCAATGCTTCGAACTCACAGCCTGTCCAACGCCGATGGCTCAAGTGACCACTACGGCGAGACCGCTTCCGAAACAGCTCCATGTCATTGGATGAGAAGACCCGAACCATGAGCCGCTCGGGATCTTTCCGAGATGGGTTTGAGAAGGTAAGTGTGTGGCGAAATAAGAAAGTGCTGTAATCGGCTTGGTCCTCGGTTCTTCGCTTTTCTCTCTTTCTAGCACAGTGGTTCTCAACCTTCCTAATGCCGCGACCCTTTAATACAGTTCCTCATGTTGTGGTGACCCCCAACCATAAAATTATTTAGCCAGTAATTATAATTCATGAAGTGTCATTTTACCTCCAGTACTGCTGCTTTCAACACAGTAGCTGCTTTTAACAGAGTAGCTGCTTTCAACACAGTAGCTGCTTTCAACACAGTAGCTGCTTTCAACACAGTAGCTGCTTTCTACACAGTAGCTGCTTTCTACACAGTAGCTGCTTTCAACACAGTAGCTGCTTTCAACACAGTAGCTGCTTTTAACACAGTAGCTGCTTTCAACACAGTATGAACAGGAGCCAGGCGCTGTGTAGTTTTGTGATAGAAATAATACATCTTGTACGGAGGTGTGCCTTTAATAAGTCATATGGTAAAACAATAATAAATAACCAGCCTGTGGCTTTAGGAAGCCAGGTTCCAAGATGGACGGTCCGTCCGCTCAGAGGGAAGCAGTGGAGTAGAATGCCTGTCAGTGCAGGGACCACGTTTACCCGACGTCCCAGCGTCCTGGATGACGTCACCACGATGTGGAGAGACGGAGGGGGGGAACTCTTGCTGGAGCCGCAGCTTTAGAAGGAAGAGGCCGGTTGCTGGGACAACATGTTTCGCACGCATGCGCTTTGTCAAGTCTCTTGTCAAGGCTCCAGCAAGAGTTCCCCCCCTCCGTCTCTCCACATCGTGGTGACGTCATCCAGGACGCTGGGACGTCGGGTAAACGTGGTCCCTGCACTGACAGGCATTCTACTCCACTGCTTCCCTCTGAGCGGACGGGCCGTCCATCTTGGAACCTGGCTTCCTAAAGCCACAGGCTGGTTATTTATTATTGTTTTACCATATGACTTATTAAAGGCACACCTCCATACAAGATGTATTATTTCTATCACAAAACTACACAGCGCCTGGCTCCTGTTCATACCTCCCACAAACCGATGTGTTTTTACCATGGCAGCAGTGAGTTTTTTCCCCACCAATCATAGTTGACATATACCATTCACTTATTTCCTTTGGGACACAATCTGTGCGCTTTTATCCAGACCGTGCTTTCAACACAGTAGCTGCTTTCAACAGAGTAGCTGCTTTCAACACAGCACCTGCTTTCTACACAGTAGCTGCTCTTTACACATCGGAAATATGTGTTTTCCGATGGTCTTAGGTGACCCCTGTGAAAGGGTCGTTCGACCCCCAAAGGGGTCGCGACCCACAGGTTGAGAACCACTGTTCTAGCAAGAGCTACTTATATCTCTTTGCACGTAACAAACTTTGCATCATGTCTATGTCGTTCTATATCTACTTTAGAGGAAGGTAGAGAAAGAACCGTTCTGGTTTCATGAGTAAATTCCTTTTCTGCAGCCATCAGTTACCTTTTTTTAGAGGATTGTTACAATAGCTGGGATCTACTTTAAAATCTCCGGAGCTGATTTGCCAGTCTGTGTATCATTACCTCCTTTGGCCAGTTTTTTTTCTCCACTTGAACCAATGCCGTCAGCACCATCTCAATGCGAAGGAAGAAGACCCAGCTGTCTATCCTTGCTTAGTGCTAGGAGGCAAATACCGGTCTTCTCAGAGATCCTTTTCCCCCGAGATATTGGTTTCAGAAGAAAGATGAAGTTTCATCTTCAGGCAGAGTTCTGTTCTACGGCGGTCATTTTTCCTGTGAGCATCTATAGTTAGACTTGTGGGAAACCTCAGCCATGCTGTATATCAGGTAGAGGTGAACGGAACCTGCTGTGAAGCAAATGCCCGTGTGAAAAATGTGTGATGGAAGCCGACTTCCAACCTGGGAATCCCTGGGTAACAATGTTTTTAATGACTTTTGGACAGCATATACTGAACGTGTTCTGACTCAGGTGAAGAGCACGGCAGCTTCTACAATGGATATTGTCTTCAGATGAAAGATGAAGCTTCATCTTCAGGCAGAGTTCTGTCTACGGCGGTCATCTTCCTGTGAGTGTCTATAGTTAGACTTGTGTGAAAAACGTTTGATGGAAACTGACTTCCAATCTGGGAATCCCTAGGTGACAACGTTTTTGATGACTTCCAGACAGCATATACTGAACGTGTTCAGGCCAAGAGCACTGCAGCTTCTACCATGGATATGGTCTTCAGACGATAGATGAAGTTTCATCTTCAGGCAGAGTTCTGTTCTACGGCGGTCATCTTCCTGTGAGCGTCTATATTTTAGACTTGTGTGAAAAAAACGTTTGATGGAAACTGACTTCCTACCTGGGAATCCCTAGGTGACAACGTTTTTGATAACTTTCAGACAGCATATACTGAACGTGTTCTGTCTCAGGCGAAGAGCACGGCAGCTTCTACCATGGATATGGTCTTCAGATGAAAGATGAAGCTTCATCTTCAGGCTTCTAGAGTTCTGTTCTACGGCGGTCATCTTCCTATGAGTGTCTGTAGTTAGACTTGTGTGAAAAACGTTTGATGGAAACTGACTTCCTACCTGGGAATCCCTAGGTGACAATGTTTTTGATGACTTTCGGACAGCATATACTGAACGTGTTCTGACTCAAGCCAAGAGCACGGCAGCTTCTACCATGGATATTGTCTTCAGATAATAGATGGTTTCATCTTCAGGTAGAGTTCTGTTCTACGGCGGTCATCTTCCCGTGAGTGTCTATAGTTAGACTTGTGGGAAACCTCAGCCATGCTGTATATCAGGTAGAGGTGAACGGAACCTGCCGTGAAGCAAATGCCCGTGTGAAAAAATGTGTGATGGAAGCCGACTTTCAACCTGGGAAATCCATAGGTGATAACGTTTTTGATGACTTTTGGACAGCATATACTGAACGTGTTCTGACTCAGGTGAAGAGCATGGCAGCTTCTACTATGGATATTATTATTATTATTATACAGTATTTATATAGCGCCAAAGGGTTTGCTCAGCGCTGTACAATAGCAAGGGGGACAGAACATGAGACAAGACAGTAACAAAACAATACACGAGGGGTTCGAGGGCCCTGCTCTTTCGAGCTTACAATCTAGGAGGGAGGGGAAGGTGGTACAGGAGGAGATGGCTGTGGGGGATGGAGTGGTGGGTGGAGTGGAGGAGGTTAGTTGTTAGGTGAGGTTGGGTGTTAGGTGAGGTTGGGGTAGGCTTTACTAAAGAGGAGGGTTTTCAGGGTGCGCCTGAAGGTGAGGAGGGTAGGTGACAGTCTGATGGATTGGGGTAGGGAGTTCCAGAGGATGGGGGAAGTCCTGGAAAAGTCCTGCAATCGGGCGTGGGAGAAGGAGACCAGGGAGCTAGAGAGTAGGAGGTCCTGTGAGGAGCGGAGGGCACGGGTAGGGTAGTATTTGGGTATCAGGTCAGTTATGTAGTTTGGGGCGGCATTGTGGATGGCTTTGTAGGTCAGAGTTAGCAGTTTGAATTTGATGTGTTGGGCAATCGGAGCCAATGAAGGGATTGGCAGAGGGGGGAGGCAGATGTGGAGCGGTTGCTGAGGTGGATGAGTCTAGCCGCTGAGTTCAGGATAGACTGGAGTGGGGATAGCACTCGTTTGGGTAGGCCGGTGAGAAGGGAGTTACAGTAGTCCAGGCGTGAGATGATGAGGGAGTGTTACGAGTTGTTTGATATTGTCTTCAGATGAAAGATGAAGCTTCATCTTCAGGCAGAGTTCAGTTTCTACGGCGGTCATCTTCCTGTGAGTGTCTATAGTTAGACTTGTGTGAAAAACATTTGATGGAAACTGACTTCCTACCTGGGAATCCTGAGGGTAACAACGTTTTTTTATAACTTTCGGACAGCATATACTGAACGTGTTTTGACTCAAGCCAAGAGCACGGCAGCTTCTACCATGGATATTGTCTTCAGATAATAGATGGTTTCATCTTCAGCAGAGTTCTGTTCTACGGCGGTCATTTTCCTGTGAGCGTCTATAGTTAGACTTGTGGAAACCTCAGCCATGCTGTATATCAGGGAGAGCTGAACGGAACCTGCTGTGAATCAAATGCCCGTGTGAAAAATGTGTGATGGAAGCCGACCTCCAACCTGGGAATCCCTAGGTGACAACTTTTTTGATGACTTCCAGATGGCATATACTGAACGTGTTCTGACTCAGTCCAAGAGCAACGGCAGCTTCTACCATGGATATGGTCTTCAGACGAAAGATGAAGTTTCATCTTCAGGCAGAGTTCTGTTCTACGGTGGTTATCTTCCTATGAGTGTCTATGGTTGGACTTGTGGGAAACCTCAGCCATGCTGTAAATCAGGGAGAGGTGATCGGAACCTGCCGTGAAGCAAAAATGCCCATGTGATGGAAGCTGACTTCCAACTGGGAATCCCTAGGTGACAACTTTTTTGATGACTTCCAGACGGGCATTATACTGAATGTGTTCTGACTTAGGCCAAGAGCACGGCAAGCTTTCTACCATGAAGCTGGAGTCCAGCTACATATTAGGGTTGATTTACTAAAACTGCATAGTGCAAAATCTGGTGCAGCTCTTCATAGAAACCAATCAGCTTCCAGGTTTTATTGCCCAAAGCCTAATTCAACAAGCTAGAGTTAGAAGCTGATTGGCTACCAGGCACAGCTGTACCAGATTTTGCACTCTCCGGTTTTAGTAAATCTCTCTGATTGATTAACATATCTGTAACTTCTGTTAGTAGAAACAATATAAAAACTCTCCTGATATTATGGTACCATAGTCCTCAGTACAGCAGGATGGGAGTGGGGGGCTCTGCACTATCAGTCTTTCTAGCTCTGTTAACCCGAACATGTTTCAGACCCTAGGAGCTGGAGCGGTAGGAGTCATCAGGGCTGCTGTTAGAAACCACAGGGCCCCATACAGCCAACTTGACAGGGCCCCCCACCCAAGAAAAACAGTTTACTATGCTTTATTTATGAATGAACACAGTCAGTGATCAGTACCAATTACTCATTGTGTTCGTTCTGGAAAGGAAGGCGCTGGTAAATTTGACTTATTTACCGCACCCTTCCTCCAGGTCCTCCATCCTGAAGGATCTTATTATGTGCTTGCAGCTGCTGGTGGGACGGAGAGCAAGGGAGAGAAGCCGGTAGCACTGTGGGGGTGGGGGCACACAGGGGAAACTGGCAGTGGTGAAACATATGGTGCACAGATAGGGTGAAGGGTGCAGCGGGGGGGAAATTACTGGAACCCATTCCTTGTATGGCTCTCTCTGCAGCAGCTGAAAGCCAGCGGGAGGGAGAGGAGAAGAAGCCGGCTTTTAGCTGCTGCAGGCAGAGCCATACAGGGGATTGGTTCCAGTAATTGCCCCACCCGCCATCCCCATCACCCTCCCTGCCCACATCTGATTCACCCAGCTGCCTGGGGCCCCCTGCTGGCCTGGGCCCTATACAGGAGGACTGGTAGCACCCCCTTATCCACGGCTCTGGGAGTCATGCTTACTCATAGTTCACCCAGACGTACAGTTGTGTTCAAAATAATAGCAGTCAGACATCACTAACCGGATCAATCACTGTTTTTTTGGTGGAAATTATATTTCTACATGGCAAATAATTTCCTAGCAGGTGTAGTAGAGTCATAGAAATCCAACAGACCCAACAGTCATGACATGCATGCTGCTGATTCTGTGTCATTGAATCACTCATTGAAAGGGGCGTGTTCAATATAATAGCAGTGTGGAGTTCTATTAGTGAGGTCATTCATTCTTTGAAAAACAGGTGGCAATTATTGCCCTTATTTAAGGAAGGAAGGCAGCAAATGTTGTACATGCTGGTTACAGTGCATTTTCTCTCTGAAATTCTGAGGAAAATGGGTCGTTCCAGACATTGTTCAGAAGAACAGCGTACCTTGATTAAAAAGTTGATTGGAGGTTAAAACATATAAAGAAGTGCAGAAAATGATCGGCTGCTCAGCTAAAATGATCGCAAATGCTTTAAAATGGCAACCAAAACCTGAAAGACGGAAGAAAGCGAAAAACGACCATTGGAATGGATAGAAGAATAGCCAAAATGGCGCAGACTCAGCCAACAATCAGCTCCAGGAAGATGAAAGAAGGTGTGACGTTCCCTGTGAGGACTGTTACAATTAGAAGACACCGATGTGAAGCCAAGCTATCTGCAAGAAGTCCCCGCAAAAGTCCCACTGTTGGAGAAAAGACGTGCTGAAGAGGTTACAATCTGCCAAAGAGCA